TTATAGAATAATATAGCATAATTTTGTAAGTTTTTATTATATAAAATATAAACTGTTAAAAGTTTTTTGTCAAATAATTCTAATAATTTTAATATCATATTTAATTCTTTCATTCATATATTAATACTTTATTGTTTTCGAGCAATCAATAAACGGAAAATTTTTCATAAACTTGAGGTCCGGGGAAAAAAACGGAATTGATCTTTCCTAAATAAAAATGTCGAGACTTTTATAATTTCTATTATAGATTAGGATAAGAATGGACTTTATTTGAGTCCAGTTAAAGAATAAAATCGGATCAAAAATTTTCAAGATAGAGAGAAACTTTTCAATTTTCAGGGAAATTGAAAGACCCTTTTAATAACTCTTCCTTGCCCTAATTAAAATAAGAAACCTGAGACATTTCTATATGCTTGATAATTTAGTATCGGATGGATGGAACGGACTGATTATTTATTTCTACTTATTTCCAGTCTTTAATTTGCAAAGTCGTTCGCGAAAGGTTCGATACTATGAATGAATCGGAATGAAACTAGACTAACGAGTAACGCGGCATGGCGAGAAGGGCAGACTCGATCTCTCGACCCAGCAGCAGGCTGAGGTAGGTCAGTGAACGCGACTGCAGCAGCCAGCCAGTCAGCCAGCTCCAACGGGAACACCCTCCCGTCCGGGGTAGCACCCTCTCGCCCGCGACTTGTTCGCTCAATATCTGGTGAATGCGTTGCAGAGGTGAGAGGAAACCGAATTGGAAAGAGAAAGAGAGAGAGGGGGGGTGGGGCAACCCTTCCAGGGGAACCGATAGGTAAACTGCAGACAGAAGAAGAAGGGGTGATAGTTTACGTTACAGTCACGAGGATTCGCAGAGGAATCTCCCGCACTTCTGTCTATCTGGTATTCGTACGTCTATTCGAAATATATTAATCACATATCTATTAATCTGATCAGTCGCGCGAAAATAGAACAGGGACTGTTGTTCGATTGTGTGAATGAAGGCACTTTGCATCACAATTATGGCCCTTAATGAGATTTAGTAATTCTGAATTCGTCAACCTCTGAGAGCTTTAAAAACTATCACCAGCGCTTTCATTCGCGTGGAACTTCGCTCCAACGAACTTTTAATGGGGTTGGTAGCGAGGATACCTATAGTTGAATGTTAAAAGTGGCGAAACGAGATGAAGTTTGATCGAATTTGTAATTTTTAACGTTATGCACCTTTGTAACTGAACTTTAGATTGAAATTGTAAGATAAGAGAGAGAGAGAGAGAGAGAGAGAGAGAGAGAGAGAGAGAAAGAGAGAGAGAGAGAGAGAGAGAGAGAATCCAACGCAACATCAATTTATTTAAATGAAATCTTACAATAAGTCGAGCCTAATAAAAATAACAATCAATATATATACAGCAATAAAAATCTTATTACATTAAATATAACAAATAATAACAAAACTGATACAATTTCAAGAAATTAAATCTGATGAAATAAAAATATATTTGATGTGCGTCTTAAAATAGGATTTACTTGAAATTATAAGAAGGTATAAAAGTAATTTTTTTTATTTTAAAATTTTGAGAACGCACATATATATACATATATTTGCCATAATATGTATTATTCTAATCAGGACGTAATCTCTATAGCGTCTATAGATGGCGACATGGTTGGAATCATCTCGATTTGTGGCTCGAAACAATGTCTATCGTGATTCGCATTCGCGGCGTGTACACGCATTATATCTACGTATACATTAATTGCAATTTGCCGTAACCAGATTGCCTGTAAGCTGACAGCTGTATGGCCGTAATATTCCTCCGTAGAAGATATCATAATCCAGTAATTGATACGCGCGTTTCCGAAACTTGCTAGCAAAATAATATTTTTCCTGCAAAATGATACATAAAGTATCGATTGTGACTGCCACAGGTGTCAAATGTTTTTGATAGATTATATTTTATAAATTTTGCAAAAACAACGTCAGTTTTAGCCGCTTTTACAAACGAGAAAGAGAGAGAGGGGGAAGGAGGGAGGGAGGGCGAGAGAAAGAGAAAGAGAGAGAGAGAGAGAGAAAGAGAGAGAGAGAGAGAAGAAAGACTGTGAATAACGAAAATCCTGTGATAAAATCGTGCAATATGTTTTGAAATATTTCTCTCTTGATATCGCAATGTATTTTGATCCATTTGTATACTGCAGATATTTAAGCCTTTATTCATTTTTATATTAAAAAAAAAGTATTTGAAAGTTTTTATTGCGTATAACGAATATTTTTATTTAAAATCGAGTAACACGCTAAAAGCTATTTGCACGAAAATGTCGACAATTATAGTTGCGATTTTGGTATCCTATTTAAACTTTACTGTTTTAAAAAGAATATTAAATAGTGAAATTAATTTAATTTAATATTGACAAAAAAATAACCGGTCTTGAAAATAATTTTAACAAACTCAGCAAAGAAATGTAAATATATTTAACAAATAAACTAAATTTTTATTTGTTCGATTATTATTATTCTTGTTATTATTTATTGTTATCTGCGTAAATAATTTCGTATTCGTATCAATTATTACATTAGTTAATATAGAGAGATAATGAATTTGATGCTATTATCGACATTTCATTTGTACGAATTCGGCATTATTTAGTATAATGTTACGTGCAATTTTATTCTGTATTATTAGGTAATTTTATTTTATTATTTGTAATCAGATTTATATTACACACACAAACACGAAGAATACATATCATACGCAGTTATTCTACACGTTGTACGACGTTATCGACGCCCTCGCGCCGTGTAAAATATAATGCATGATGCATTGCTGGATGATCTATTACTAGATTATATGATCTATTACTAGACGTGTTTACTCTCTCTTGGCTCGCGAACGACGAGCAAAGACTATGCTACTCCGCGGATTACACGTCAAAATTAGAAACATGACTTCCTGACGTTATTTTCATGTGCGAAGCGATGGGACGCCGGCTTGTAAGTGAGCGATAGTGAGAAAGAGGAAAGTGGGGAAGACAGAGAGAGAGAAAGAAATCTCACGAGCTTTCAAATACCGCGTACGAGGACACGAGAGAACTGCTAGAGATGTAACATCGCACCGTGATATTAAAGGGAACGCGAAACCGATCGATTCATCTCAGCGTCTAGCAAAAAAATGCATTTTTTATTATAAAAGCAATCCACCGCGATTCTTTCTTCGCGGGCGTGCGAAACGCGCGAAGTGTACCTGCAAAAAAATCCGCAGGGACGAGAATTACTCGCCCCTTTTTTTTCTATCCGCCATCAGATAAAGCGCCACGGGAAGTGTGCAGGAATTTTTATCTTCCTTTTTTGCAGAAGCGTCTCGCTACTCTTATCTCTCGAAGCGGGGAAAATAATATCCGCAAAATCCGCCGCGACCGCGCCGGCGCGCATTTCGAATGGAATACTCCATCGGCGTCATTGCAAAATCGCGTCGATCACAATATCGAGACGACATTGATAATGTGTATAATGATATAAATATTTAATTCGCGTCGACGCTAAACGCATTTATAGATATAATCGCTTTCTAATGCGACGGATGCCGTTTATCGTTTAGCGTTTATATCATAATGACAGCTTCAATCGATACGTTATTTCGTGCGGGATATATATTCGCGGAACAAAATCTGCGGATTATACTGGCTTTCCACGGAATTTTCATTAAAGATAAATTGACTACAGATTTGTCGAGGAGTTGTGATTGAAAGCCTGCAGCTGTCATTATTTACCGAGTACTGTATACGAAGTATTTTCAGCTTGTTGCGAAATCAGATCGTAACAATTGTAAAATTGTTTGCAGCTTACCGAGAGATATTTTCAGCTATTTACGATTTAAAAAACTTAATGAGACGTTTTCCGACTCGCGCGTACTTTGGAAAGGTTATCGTTAAATTTAGTTTCGTTATAAAACGATGCTTTTAATCGTCGATTCAATGCGAAAACGAATTTCTCGTTAATCGCGTGTAGCGCGCAATTACCTTATTCATTACAAAATTTCAATATAAAGGCATTCCAACATTATTTCTTCGCAGCCTCGATTTTTTACAACACAGTTGTATTCATGAGTCTTCCGGATAAACCTAAAAATGAATTATTTAATAACAACGTTTCATTTTTTCATACGTTTTAAATATATTCTGAACAATTTTAAGAGCGATAATTTTTAAATTCTTTACATTTTTTTTATATTAACATAAAATAATCGCAAGCACATAATACATATAAATACTTCTTGTAATATTATCTGTCTAATCGTAATTAAAACTAAAAGTTCTGATCAAAGAGAGGAAGGATATTGAAATTTTTAAATGCGACGAGTAATTTTTATTATTGAACCTTTAAGCTGTCCTGCACGCATGAAAAATGATAGGAATTTATTACTGTTATAATGAAATGTGTGCACTGAAAAGGTATAACTCACTTGTCGGGAGAATTTTATTAATGCTCTTTGTGTCGTTAAAATGGCCGACGTAATGAACGTTCCGTCGTGCATTTTTGCGCTGCGTGTCATTTGCCACGAAATCCGAGCGAAATTTCTCCTCGGATCGATGATTACACGGTTGGTTTCGACGTATCAAGCGTAGCGAGAAAAAGGCGAGTGGCCGCGGGCGAAAGTAATAATCTTCGCTTTGTGCACGTCGGCTGGAACATGCATTAAGGCCTTTTGACGAGAGACGACTGATGGAAGGGAAACGCAATTGAATTCGCCACCGCTCAATTTCACCGATAATTGAGGGACACCATTCCCGCTTCGATGCTTTTCGTGCACTTTGATACAGGAGGGGCCTCCCCCTCTCACTCCTCCCAAAAATTCGCAAGATTTTCTTCGCCATTGTTTAGTATATTTATGATTTTATCTTATACTTAATTTACTTTTTATCTCATTTTATTTTCTTTGCTATTTTATTTTAACTCTCTTGTGTTTTAATTTATTTTGCTTCAAGTTTTTACTCGTCTGGTCCGTTCTTGCACTCACCGTTCTCGACGTTGAGCTCCGCCGCTGAAGCTCTGTAAGAGGGCGGTCTTCCGTAATCGCTGGCGTCGCTCGGATGCAACAGCAGCTGATGCGACGTCCTAGAGTGATGTCTGGAGCCGCTGGAGGAGCGACGCACATGGACGTTATTCAATACCGTGCTGCTGGACGCTCTACTGAGGGCCGCTCTCTGTTTGATCGCCTCTTTGTAGATCTTGCAGTACATAATGATCATCACGACACCCGGGATCCAGAAGGACACGCAGGAACTGATTACCGCGTACGGGAGGTTCACCACGAACATGCAAATCTGGAGATCGCAGAACCCGGAAACGCTTCAATCGCACGAAACGCGTAGGATAATCATGAATGTGTTCCCTCGCCCCCTCACAAATTATTATAAATCATCGAGAATGAGTTTTACAAAGTAATATATGTGAGAAACTTCTAAATAATCTTAAAGTGTAGAGAAACTTAAGAAAATTTTGCATGAATTTGCAATTCGACTTTATGAATTACATACGGTTTTATACGGTGCTATATCACTTAAAATGATCTAAATAGACCAGGAAAAATGGTTTTTGAAACCTGTTAAAAAATGGAAAAGCGGGAGATTCGACATACGATATTCATGAATGTAGGATTAAATGAATCGAGAGGATGAATAAACCGTCATTATTTTATCGTTTTTTTAATAGCCGCTTTAATAATAGTCTCTGAGTAAAATTGTAGGATCGTCGAAACTGTGATATTAAAAAGTCTAAAATAAAGCTATTAAAGTATAAAAAATTCAAAGGTATTTATACTGAAATTTCACTGTATAAGTCCAAGTGTGTTATTTCTACACGTAAACGTCTAAAAATGAAACATTTGTATGAAACTCGTTTTACATGCGTATGTGTTTTATTGCGTGTTAAATTAACACGTTTAATCGTATTAAATTAAAAGTTAATACGTTCAACCATGTTAAATAACGTTTAAAACAGCAAGAAATGTGTAAAAAGAGCTTTTCGCAGTTAAAATAACACACTTGGATTTGAAGTGTGAAGAAAATATAATCTTTATAGTTTCTTTTCTTCATTCCTTTTTCTTTTAAAAGTCCTCAGTTTTATGTCCTTCTTTCATCATTAAAGAATATGGCGTCATTAGCTGATTTATTACAACGTTGGTAACGCCAACGCTAACAAATTGCTTTTTGCCAAAGTAACATGAGGTAATTTGCGCTAATTACACGATTAATTATAGATGAAACTAGCATCCGTTTTATACATATTTTAAACACAATTATTGGCTATCTAATTGACTTTGAAAAGCCAACGTGGTATTAGCGAGATACAAATTACGATATGAAATTAATTTCGCTGTAATTAAAGGATTGATACAAACTGAAGTATTATAGTCTTTCCGTAACGACGAAGATTACGAGCTCAATCATTAATAAAATATTAATTGAAGGAAAGATAAATGCTGAAATTAATTTGATGCCACATCTGGAAATCCATTAAATCCTAGGTTGATAAGGGGTATAACATTGTAAACTACCTACATTGATAGCTGTTAAGGAAGAATTAATTATTATGAGTAAAATATTAATCGCGGTACTTAATTTTGATGTCGCCGTTGTTATGAAGACAGTATTAATATAGCTCAGTTGTAAAAATATGAGAAATTAATTTATTTTATTAAATACAACGATTAATTTGATTCTATGGTTGAAGAAGATCAATTAAATTCGAAACCAGTAATTACTACGAGGGAATTAGAACGTTGTAAGTAACTGCGATGGTTACGAAAAACGTTGCTCGTGATAAATGAGTCTTATCGCTGGCAGTTTTCCGACAGTGCTCCATCGATTAAAAATCGATAGCTCACACAAGACTGACGTGAACGTAATAGTAGATATAAATTACATCGTTTATAATATCGCAATTTGTATCTCTGCTAAACGCAACAAATTCACAGTCGAAATATCAACGATGCAATTACACATCAAAATTAATATTATTGTGGAAGATAACACTTTATATTTTCCGACAAAAATTACATGCTTTTATATTATTATTTTGTTGCTATATTCCAATAATTTTATTTATTATTTAAATAATTATTGGCATTTTTCTTGTAAGTTTTTTGTCCTTTTCTTTTTTATAAATAATTTAACATTATTTTTAATGTAAAATGTACATAATAAAATATTTACGTTGTAAACAAACGTACTGTTGCAACGAAAGCAAAATATATTTCAAGTAAAAAATTTTTCGAGAAAATTGATTATTTTTTTGTGGATATTTATCTATCTGATTGTGAATTATCTGTCTTCTAGATATAAAAGACAGTGTTACAAGTATTGATTGAGCATAGTCCGCAAACAATTGGATCGGGGAAATGACAAATAAAGTAACAACACGACATAGGGGGACAGTAGGAGTTACAAGAATATCGAAATGAGAAATCGTTTTTGATATAATTTATGAAAGAGTGAATGATAGTAGGTAGAAAACTAAACGCTTCGATAAGCGAAGCCTTCAGAAAGAGAGTCCTGAAACAATGTATTGATTCGCTTTGAGAGATTGAGTGATACTACAAAATATTATTTCAAATTTTGAGACGGTAAACACAGAACTGGTGTCCGCGCTATTTTTGATGAAGGAAGTAATATGGATTAACGTTTATACTTCCAAAACGTGTTAAATCCACGAGACATTTTCTATATAGAAATTTTGGTAGCGTATACGTACAGTATTTTTAATCCTGCAAAAGATTTGTAATAGGTACAATCTCTACTTTTAAATATTGATTTAAGACGCTTTAGAAATAAACTCTTCCATCACCTTGTTTGTCTTTTATTGAAAATATTATTAAAATATTAAATATTATATTCATGAAAGATTATATGTTTAGTTTAGTACAGTTTTCAGTAGAAAAGTAATTTTACGATTATCTGGATTAATGACTTGAAAAAATAATTAATCACAAATAGCAGATCACAAGAAAAGAAATGATGGAAAATATGGTGTCGGGATATCGAAATGAGATTAATGAACTGTGTAATTACATGAATTAACTAGTAAATTGTAATGATGATTATTGTATTAGCAAAGGGAAGATTTTATCAAATCAAATCTTTTAAATCTCGATTAATTCTTGCGTCCTTATAATTTGAAAAAACTAATTCCTAAATTGTTGAATCTTTGAATCCATATAAATTTTTAAATCGGTGTTGGCTAATCTACCTGTGGATTCTTTCGACGGAAGTCTAGATGTTGCTGCGTGGTGTACCAGCCCATGAAGATAGGTATAAAGCTAATCAGAGCCGGCAGTGTCCAAGCACTACTCAACATGGCAGTAACTGTCACAGTCCTCATAATGGCCGGGTATTCCAGCGGTCTTACTATCGCGTAATACCTGTCGACGCTGATACAACAAAGATGGAGAATACTGGCGGTGCTGAAGTAAACGTCCATCGAGTTCCACACGTCGCACATGATACTTCCTAGCAGCCATTTACCCCCGGAAAGCTCGACGGAAGCATTGAACGTCATGGCGCACACCGTCACGAGGAGATCCGCCATCGCTAAGGAGACCACGTAGCGATTGGTGGGCACTCGTAACTTCCGGTGTCTTCGGACACTGGCGATTACCAGAGCATTGCCTAACAAAGCGGTGACGATGATGCTGATCATTATGACGCCCTTAAGGGCAATTAGAATGATGTTTCTTGATTCGACAATAACGCTCAGATTGTTTGGATAAAGGGGAACACCCTCGAGGCTCGAAGAAAGATTGAGTATTGGGTAGACCTCCTCATCCGGAGGCTCACTGACTTCCATCCCAGATCGAAAATCGCAATATCATATTAAATGTTCATCTATCAATATCCATCGACAAGTTTGCCGATTTTTTATAACGTTTCTCGATCATGGCGCTACGATGGCGATTTAAGTATCTCGTTTCTAAGACGAGTTAAAGCTTTAATATTGTACACGAGAATATCACTTTCAACATTTCCAATCCAATCGTGTCTGTCCACTGTAATCCAAGAGTCTTCCAGTTATCACAATCACTTTCCATAATAATATTAAATTACCACCCATTTTAAGTGGCGATGTAATTTCGTATTTTTGTACTTTAAAGCAAATCTCTCTATAACGCTTACGTTGTTCGTGAAAGTCTTTTTTGTACTTTGTAAATTTGATCGTTCATTGTTCGTTCGATAATGTGCATTATCTGTTTTTAAAAGAAGAAATGTTATTTGATTAAAAAATAAGCTAATTTTTTTTTAAGGTTGATTTAAAATACGGAAATAATTAAATCAAAGTATGAGTTATAAAAATTACTATAAAAAGAACAATGTCATGCTTTGAAATAAGGTAATTAAACGAAATATTATAATTTAATTGGATTAATTATAATGAGAAAATATTCACATAGGTAAATCTGGTAAACAATGTCGTAAATATGTTTTGGTATACTAGGTAATTTAATTAAAATAAATGTATAAATAAAATATTGTTGAATTATATATATATATATATATATATATATATATATATAAATTCATAAGATAAAATATAAATTAAATGATGTCTTAATTATCATTGTCTTTAATTATTCTTCTTATGCATCTAAATGCATAAAAATACCGGTTAATTATCGCAATGTTACAAGGAGTAAGAAATAAGGTAATAAATCCAGCGCAGACATAATGGCGGGTTTTTTTTAACAGAAACTTTTCTTTCGTTCCCCAGTTACCAATCGTGATGGCGAACATTGAAATTACAATCGTACTGGCCGTTATGTGTGCCTCTTTTGGCCGCGAGTGTATTATCTGTAAATATATCTGACTATGTTATTAACGACCACGAAAACGTCTCATCAACGATTTCTCCATCGTTTTCTTGGAACCGCCACGTTTTATATTCATGTGATTACACATGTATATAATTTAGGGTCCTCCAACTTTTTTATAGTGATGGACTGACGAATCGAGTATTGACGGTTCAAAATACATAAATATGACACTCCGTTACTGATATATTTACTTAAAAAATAATCACGACTTTCTCATTAATCTCGCTTTTATCGATGCGTTAATGCTGATTTCGATTTAAGTAGATTATCAATCTAATTTAATACCTTTCGATTAATTTTTATTTTAATCTAACAAATTAGTGTGATTTTTCAGTTGATTAATTTTGGAATTTAATATTTAATATAAATTTGTTATATTTTTGTATCCTTTTAACTATTTCTGAAATATTTTCCCTGACTTGGATTAATATTTGATACATTAGTATTTTTCACAGACGTGCATAGAAATAAGAAAGAAAAGATACATCTTTTGAATCTCATCCTATTATAGATACATGACGACGTCTATCACAACAACTTAACTTCGCCGCAAAGTTAATGATCTACGACTAATTAGGTAATCTATCAAATTTTCGCTCAAAATTTGGAAGGCGACAGTTTCCAACTGCCGACAGTTCATTAATATTTATAACCAAAATTGACATATAGACATCGACCTATCAGCACAACTTTCCTCGCGAGAAACTTCCTCCCACAGTATCGGAAAGACAACTTGAGCGAAACTGCAGGAGATTCCCCGGGTAATTGCTGCAATTTCGGTTGCTCGATTTATCGTAATCACATGATCCTAGTTGCGGCCATATCTTGGCGATGCTGTCACGGCGCGAAACTAAATTGTTTCTAATATATCATTAATAAAATAAAAAATCAGGAAGAAACAAATACGCTAGATAATTTTTTTCTTTCCTTATATGTACATATTAAAATATTTTCTGCGATTAATAAATACGTGGTGATTGATAACTAGTGTTGTTCCCGTGAAGATTGAGTTTTTATATTCTCTATATACACGCCTCGAGATGATTAAGACACCGCATTGGCTCGAAGAGAAAAGAAAGAGTAGTGACTCATTTCAATTTTGCAAACAGCACGGAGGCGAATTTACATCTCGTTTCTGTTAGTAAAGATATTTACGTCACGGCGGTACTTTTTGAAATTTTAATAATGATACACACACAAATGTGTATAATATATGCGTACAACAGATGTAGAATACTTATGTTAAAAGTAGTTGAAATTTCGAATATAAAGTAGGAATACAAATGTACGTAATCTATTTTAATGTGGGTTTTTCAAGATGCAGCTTATGTACTACTTTTTCATTGCGCAAACTTATGAAATTTTCGGGCTCCTCGCATTAAACTTGCCTCTGACGAGAATTTAATTTGAAAATTGTGAGAAAAATATTTGCCTCTTGCTTCTACATTTATAATTCTGAATGACGCACGGATTAATGTTACAATTTTATATAATAATAAAGAAGTTTTTCTAAAATATATATACATATAAAAGAACTTTTATAAAAGATAGATATATTTGTAGAATTCTAAAAATAACAAAATTTATAATTTGAGAAATAATTATCTACAATACTATAGATCTTACACGTATATATATGTGTGTGTGTGTGTGTGTGTGTGTGAATGTTTTATTATATATAGAAATTTATTATTTAAAAATTTTTATGTATGTGATTATTAACTTTTACATATAGAGATGTTAAAGTGTCATGAAATTTCGCAATGCGAGACCCTATAATTTTAACTTTCTTAGTTGATGGGCAAATTAGGCCCCGTTTCCTTGCCGAGAGATGATATATCTCAAGTTTCACGGCAACTCTAGAGGGAGATATTTCCTTATTAAGCGTTAAATATTAATAACCATGGCTTTTGCGGATGTTCGGCCTGCTCTGGGCGATAGAAACGCGGATGGTAAGGCAACCGAGAGGGGGTCAGGGTAAGGAGAAGTTGACAGTAGAACAAGTTCAAGAGAGGCCTGGATTTACATACTGTAATATTCATAGAGATGACTCTAGCTCTAGCTAGCCCATTAGCAATTACGCGCTGTGTATATGAGTGTGTGTACACATACACAATGAAGTATCAGTGTTGCTTTTGTCATTAATAATAGAATAACTGCAAAAATTAAAGTAAATTTTGTTACCGAAAACGGATACAAAATTGAAATAAAATTTAGGAGAAGATGATAGAAAGAACAATAGAAAAGGATTATAATGATTCTCAATTTTTTATTTCATGATGTTAAATATTCTGAAATGAATAAAATTATCTTCTCATAAATAATCTCGCAAATATTTATTTTATTTTGAATATTCATAAAATTTTATTGATTTTATCTTTATTAACTTTATTAATTAATTTATTATTAATTTATTTTATCACATATTTTCTGTGTCAAAAATTAATTACTATAGAATTTGCACATATAAGCTTGATAAAAAATAATGTTGTTTTTCTCTTCTGTTTTACTTGTTGAATGTTTGAAATTTTCATTTCATTATCCAATTGAACATTCCAGACTCCTAATTTTGTATTTTATTAGAAATAACATTTTCCACACATTTGCTTTTTAATTGAAACATATTCCACCATCTATTTTTATTTCTCAAATGTTATATTCTTTATCTCTAATCGCGATTGTCATATATAATTCTCCTTGTAATATTTTCTACTCGATCTAGTCGATATACATATATAGCGGCTTTGAGTTAACCTCTCGAGTGGCGAATTGATTTCTTTGTCCTCCACGCCTGGCATCTGAGAGAACGTGGAAGCAAATAAAGTTTTGAAAGATCGACAGACACACATTCGCGCTCCGCACGTCAATGTGTCAATAGATCCCTTCTCTCTCTCTAGAAGGCTAGAAATTAAAATTTGAAAAATATCGACACATGTCGTCGACGATTCAATTGATGTGAGGGTGTTTCTCGCTCGACAATTTACGTTTTGTTTCTGTGAGAGATGTCGTCGTAAAATGTCAGATTACATAATTTTAAAATAAATTATTTTTGCGTAACAGAACTCGAAAACTGCGAACAATTTTGATAATTCTGTACTATTAATTGTCCACTATCAGATTTACAATTAATTTTATTTTTGTGAATTATATCCTTATTTCTGCATATACATTTAATTTACGGCTAGATTTTTCATGAAATTTTATTTGTTCTTTCTGTTGTAAATAATTTATATTTAGCGAGATATAATTTGTATTTTTAATTTGTATTAAAGGGATTTATTGTTTGCGAATTGCGTGCACGTGATTTAAAATTTTGAACAACATTTAGGTCAAGAGGGAAAATTTTTATTTCGTATAAATATTATAAGTCGAGTATATTCGATAAATCTGGGGATCTGAAAAAAGCCGGATATATTCATAGAGAAAATGTCAAAATTCACGGAACAGAATTTAACGTCGAGAGAGCAAAATTAATCTTCAGAGAATGAATAATGAGAATGCCGATGTGGTTTCCGGTTTACAACCAGATTAAATGACACTGAGAGCCTGTACATCAGTAATACTGTAACGCGAGGTTGTCAGTTTGAGTGCCAATTCGTCTAAACGTAAATAGGAATGACGATTGAACTGCGGCCAACGCGTTTTACGCATGCGGAGTGTTGAAGAGTTCACTCGCGACCTATCTAAAGCATATTTTTAGAAATACAGAAATACAGGACAGAAGAAAGAGTTAGAAGTTAGATATATGAAGATATTTTTGAAAAATATAAAAAGTTTAGAAAATACATTTTTACATACAATATAAAAACATGAAAATTTTTTTAAATTATAAAAGTACAAAAGTTTACTATCAAGTTGCCAATAAAATTGATATTGATAACAATAGTCAAGTATCAATAAATTAAAGATTAGTCAGTATGAAGAAAATTGACGCGTATATAAGCTAAAATTTGTTATCGTTATAATATTATCAACGTATTAATCGGATATCAATCAAAATGCCATAATACACCTCAAAAATTAGATTCAGAGGATTAAGCTTATTTCACTGCCTGTGTATAGCAAGAATTAAAATTTTCGTTAAACTGTCATAGAAGTTTGTCATGAAAGTTTCGGACGTTAATCGCTGGGATATAATTCTCTCCCCGTTAAAATCCTGAAGATTAAGTTTATCTCGATGCCTCGACGCGGTAAAAAGATCGATGAATTGGCAGCCTTGAAGAGAGGAAAAACCAACAGATCACTCGCTATTTCATCCGTCACTCCATCTATCCATTTCAAAGACGCGAAGAAATTAAAAGCGCGTCTTGATGTCTAGACGCTGCTCCAAGTAACCGCGTCCAAGGACGCTACTGGAGGCGCAAGCGCTTTTCCCTGCTTTTTAACCACCTCTGCAAAAGAGGATGGTTTGCAATAAGCCTGATAAGAGTTATCAGTGCCGATAACGAACCGATTTGTTTCATATACAGTGAACCAATTAATAAAAACCCTTTCACTTTCTCCGTTACCATTGAGAAGTCATAAAATGATTTGAATTAAATCAC